AGAGAACTACCGAACACTTGCATGACGATGCTGACAGTTCACCGGGCCAAGGCAGAGAACTACCGAACACTTGCAAATCGATACTGACAGTTCTCTGCGTTTTAGTGAAATGATTGAGCGCTGAAAAATATTTATTCGTGTTTAACGTCGCTGTGATGATTCAGGCGAGTTCATCATGAAAGGCGTGTAAGTAGATAGCATAATAGGCCTACCGTCACACTTTCCATAAACAGCTTAAATCATAGGTCACCACAACCATTTACCCCAAATCTTACCCAACAAAGTTAACCAATTACCCCTGATCCTTCAATATTATTACCAATCATTTACCCCAAATCTTACCCAACAAAATTAACCAATTACCCCTGATCCTTCAATATTATTAAGAACAATTACCCCCAAATCTGCATAAACAGCTTAACAGGGTACCGATCATGAATCTTACCCAACAAAATTAACCAATTACTCCCGAATCATGAGTTAACGATCATTTACCCCGATTGAGTTTGCACCACTTGAAAACTCACAAGGATTATAACAATATAACAAACTCTCAGAGAAACATTGCAAGGCAAATAGTTTAGATATAAAAAATGTTTAGTTGAAAAATTAATGCTCCCAAATAAGAAGAGACACAACAATCGCCATTCAGCAACGAAAAGCGCCTCAAATTTTATAAATAAATAAAAAATCCCCATTAGGCACCCAGTGTCCCTTATCCGTGCCTCAAATGCTGCGCAATTTTCCTTATAATTAAGCCGCTCTGGCGCGCGAGCTAATGAGAGCACCTCGAACAAAAGATGCCCCCATTTAGCAATTATTTGAAGAAATGCGAGCAAGGAAGGTTAGGATCTCTTTCAACTAAGTTCTCATTGAAACGCTCAGTCTATGAAGATGGCTATCTCGTGGAGTTCACAGAGCTTTGAATTACTCTTTATGTTAAGCAACGCACTCATCCGAAGTTCTGTGAGAAGGAACTGTTTCATTTAATTCAGTTATGAGGACCGTCAACGTGTACATTTTTTTACTTCGCATTGAGAATTTAGAAAGAAGGGAATGTAGAGATATGTAAAGTTTTTCATTCTCAAAGTTTCAGCGACCATGCATCCTAATTTTGATTAGCATTGAATAAGTGTTACTTCACTAGATTATGCCAATGACGTAGATTAAACTATACATATGCTTATTTTCAATAGAACAAAAATAAAAAAGGCATATTTTATAAAAGAATGTACCAATCTCTGTTATTAATCAGGTTGAGATTCTCATCTTAGTTCCAACGGCTGCAACTTTACTTTTTGACGGCCGTTTCTTATCTTTCTTGAGACGCACGACGAGCACGGAGATCAATGCTATCAAGACGAGACTCCCGCGAGGACACCGACGACGCATCCCAAAATTTGGGCGATAGGCACGTCAGAGAAGTTATTTGCCGAGGGCTGGCCCATCACGGGGGCTATGTGTCGCTCTGTGGAATCTCTGTCAGTGTAGCCTCGCATAATCTTCTTTGCTGAGCGGCCTTTGGAGTTCTTGGCGTATATTCTGACCACAAAGCTGGTCTCACCAGCGAGACCCACGAGCTGGAAGTAAGGAGTGGTCGGCTCTGTGATGTTCAGCAATAACCTTCGAGTTCGCATGTCGATGACCTCAGCCACGAACTCTTGCTTCAGACCCCCGTTGTATCCAGCCTCGCAAATGACAGAGAACGTTTCATTGGGATGGTTTCTGAAGGTACAGTTCTCGGGCGCATCCGGAGGTTCAGCTGGCACCACTCTAAAGACACAAGGCTCCTGCTGCATTCCTAGGACGTTACTGCCCCAGCACAAAAGGGTCCCGTAAGCTAGTTCCGACTTGACTGTGTACTGCAGCAGAGAACTGAGACCATCAGACGCGACTTATTCGTCTTTGAGATCGACGACGTCGCCGCTGCTATTGAATCGCCAGCTGAAGGCCACAACGGGCGGCGAAGCCTCCAGACGACACGACACCGTGATGGTCTCCTCACGAGCCGCGCCGTACACGCGCGTCTGGTCTCCAGCGCAGGTCGGGCGGACTGCAAAACATTTGGAAAAACATTTAGAAAATTTACCTAAGGATTTTTTAGAAGTTCACGCTTACGAACGACGGGGGGCAAAAAATTCATTTATTATTTTATGTTATTTGTAAAATTTGCTGCTTATATGAAAATTCAGAGAATAAAGTATGTGAAGAGTAGTTGAAAAATAAAAGAGGTTTAATCAATAAATGTAACATAATGGCCCGTATACTAAATGGGGCACTAGCACTACGAAGTAGCACTACGCACTACAAGCCGTAGTGCGGTACTAGTGCGACCTGGAACACTACGTTTGGCATGCTAAATAGGGCACTAGCACTTTGAAGTAGCACTACGCACTACAAGCCATAGTGCGGCATGGAACACTACGGTTGGCATGCTAAATAGGGCACTTACACTATGAAGTAGCACTACGCACTACAAGCCATAGTGCGGCATGGAACACTACGATTGGTATGCTAAATAGGGCCAAAAGCATAACGCGCACTACAAAAATCTGAAGTGTCCTACACACCGCACTTCACGACGACACTACGGTATATTTAACCTTGTTTACTTCGTCAGCTATGGATCTGTTTGGCTTACAAGAAAGGCATCATCGCGTAAAAACATCAGGAACAGCATGCCATGAATATAAAAAAGTGTACCGCTTCAGTGAACAACATGTTATTCTTATGGCTGACATTTTCCTAGGCGAAACAGATGAACAGCGTAGAAGTAAAAAATACTTTTCTTGTTTTTGAGACCATGTTTTGAATTTTATTTTTATTATTTTTTCTGGAGTCATTTTGAATTTTTCTGCAAGAACTTTCCATGCTTCTCTCTTTTGTTCGATGTCTTTGGTAAGCGTGGACTTTGAATATATGATGGGAAAGGTGCGCAGACGCATTGCGAATTTCAACTCACCATCACAATTTTCATTAGTACCATTACCATCACAATTAGACATTTTACATCAATCTTCTGCAAAGAATGAGAATTACTTAGGGAATAATTAATTATTTGAGCACTTAACTACCACTCATCAATAGACTCATAGCGTAGTGCGGCACTATAAAGTACTCTAACAGCGAAGTAGCACTTCAAAGTCTTTCTGCATACGAATCAGTAGTGCGACACTAAGCGACACTAAACATTGTAGAGCTACTTCAAAGTGCTTAGTGTCTGTGACGTATTTAGCATACCAACAGGACACTTCGTAGTGCATTGTGCTACTTCGTAGTGCTAGTGCCCTATTTAGCATACGGGCCATTATTTGCGAGGGGTTTTCATATTTAAGCCGTTAATTTCAAAATTACACAATCTATCGAAATTTGGGAATTTGCTTCACAACATCAGCAGCAGAATGGCCTCAAAACCAAAATTTATCGTTGAAAATTTGAAGCGACATTGAAAATGGGATTTGCAAACTTTTATCATTCAACAATCAGAAATTAAAAATAAGGCCAAGAAAGAAATAACGATCAGCAGGAATCGATAACTAGTCTGAAAGTTTCCTTTCCATAACCGCTTGTAGTTCTGGAGTAGCAAAAATGCCCAACATGAGGCATGCGTGTCTTTCTGAAAGTTATTACCAGATAATTCAATCAGTGGCTCAAAAAAGGCATAAATTGTGCCAGCCTCGACGATCTCTGCGAAGACGATGCAGACCAGTGAAGAGTCGCCTCATCTACAGGCTTTGCGCCTTCGAAGAGCTCATCCGCACTGTTCATCAATTGAGGTGAGAGCTCTTCAGTTGTGCTAAATAAAACTTCCACTGATGGCTTGTACTCAAAAGAAGCCTGTACGATTTTCCTCCAATAATTAGAACGAAAAGTAGCGTCAATTCAACACTCGAGCTCCGAGATCAGACAAGAAGTGAAGTGCAAAGCTTTCTTCCGTCTCCTTAAGACTTTCTTTATTGGTCTATTTTTTCGTCAGAGAAAGAAATAATCAATAGATTCGAATGTTCTAGAAATTATCCATTTTTTAAATAAATAATTATCTACAACAGACACAAATGAATCTTGTTAGAACAGACGCAAGATAAAAAAAAATTCCTATAGGTCGAGATAGACGTGGTATCGATATTGAGGCAAGAAATTATCGGTGTTTGATCTGCCGCTAACTCGCCTGACGCTAACTCGCTTGCGGATTCTCGGTCCTTTTAGCGCCTAGAAGAAATTAGTCCATTTTATGCGGACAAGCTAATTGGATAAACTGCGGCGCGAAGCCAAGAAAGAAAACGAGAAAAAAACAGCTAGGCGAAGGGTATACGATAGATGATCGAATATGTCCTATCTTTTCAATGATGAATTGGTGAGCCGATTACGTTACGGAGCCTCACGGCAGGATGAATTGATGGAGTAATTAATTAACGGAGCCGTGAGGGAAGATACATTTGGTGAAACAACTGACTTAAAGAGCAGCATCGGAAAATGGATTTAGTGAATCAATTAACTTAAGTAGCTGCAACGACGATTTGATTTGGCAACAAATCAAACAAGGAGATATATTTGTCAACAAATTAGTTAACGAAGCCCCAAGAAAAGACGAATTGATTAACCTCAACAATCAAATAAACTTTAATAACATATTTTGCGAATTTACTGCTGTTGGTTAACTCATATTTATTTAATTACCTCATCATGAACGTTCAAGTTTAAGAGCAAACAAAATATACATTAGTCCAACTGATCACTTGACGAGCTGAATTTGCAAGCCCTAAACTGAAGGTTAATGACGTGCGGTGCTGCAGACTGACATTGGGCGACGAGGTTGAGGTGTTGGCTGCGGGCGTCGCCCTCGGTGTTGGCGGCGGCGCAGGCGTAGCTGCGCCGCAAGCCCTAATTTGCAAGCCCTAAATGACGTGCGGTGCTGCAGACTGACATTGGACGACGAGGTTGAGGTGTTGGCTGCGGGCGTCGCCCTCGGTGTTGGCGGCGGCGCAGGCGTAGCTGCCCGCCTGGGAGCGCCTCACGCGCTGCACCGCCTGCGACTGGTTGCTCACGATCACGCCATAAGACACGTTGTGCTGCACCGACGAGTTCTGTTGGGCCAACGGATACAGCTAAATGATTTTTTTAGAATTGTGATGCAATTTAATAAATATTAACGTGATGTAATTAAACTAAGTTAAAACTTCAACGAAGCATCAAAGTGCCACATTCGAAAAGCAGACAATCTTAGTTTGTTGGTTTGAAGAAAGAAGATAAATCTTAAAACTAACTATAATTTCTCATAAAATTTGGCTTCTCATTAAGTTTGTATTTCTCACTCGTTTTTTAAAACGAGTGTCATTAATGACTATTTAAATATTTGTAGCTACAGAACTAAGGGAGGAACGATACATAGCTAGCGCCTTGATGGTAGAAGCATAGCAAATTCGTCTCGCTTGAAGACGCTCGGTAGGAAAGCACAAAACAAGAGAAAAAAAACATTAATTGAAAATGTTGCTTGTGAGAACAAGAATGTCATTGCAGCGTGGAGTTTAGGAATGATGTTTTTGAGTAACAAACGACTAGAGATTGGCACGTAAGCCTCAGATGAACGGATACTGAGCGGCGGTCTAACACCAGGCGGTGGTGACGCGAGCTGTGGGCAGACTCAAAGATTTATTTTTCAGTGAGCAGGAGGGCGAGTGTGCCCGATCTGTTCTAATGCCCCCTCTGATGTATTTTATTTATACAGTAAGGGAGCCTGACGTGTTCATTTACTATGTTTGGGTATAACTATTGTCATTCCTAGTTTAGATTATAAAGGAGGCTTAATAGTGACAATTGTCACACTTATATACCATCAATGCATGGGAGGCCGGTTGTGATGCCTCATCTAGTCATCTTGATTATCCTTTCACGGGCATGGCCAATATGAACGACTCATACACATTTTATTCCATTCCGTGTCTGAATAAATAATACCATGAACGCCCTGAAAGAATCTCGTACCCAGCTTACATAATTGTCCTGCCTAAAATAGATCTGCATTAAAGACTACATCCACCTTAATAATTCTCGTCATACCTACGCATTAATATAGTCTGTTGTCATGCCCTGTATATTGAGTGATTCTATGGCGTCTAGAAGTAACCTTAAAGAAGAGCTATATGCAAACATGAAGAGTCTATTCTGGGTAATGTCTAGAAAAAGTTATGGAACTTTTACCATCTTGAAAAGCATTAGATATAAGCGCACGAAATTACTTCGACGAACAACATTATTATTGCTGGAAAAAATATGGATGAAATTAATGATATTTTAAAAGTGATATAATTAAGGTATATAATTAACCTTGGTAAAATTATAAGTTGCACTGGAAGCACACAAAATTTGCGGTAGGATACGCGAGAATTAATTCCTAATGTGTTTCTTCTAAGCTCCTTAAACACATCAATATACGTCACTGTTTCGCGCATTCAAACTACCACGATCTGCTATATTCAGGCAGCAAACTTATCGCCGAGTATAGTTGGAAATTCGCAATAAAATCTTGCAGATTGGCTGGAAGGCCTCGGCTGCTACCATAGAAGAAAGAAATCATTCGTTAGTTTTCAAAAAAGTGTATCTCAAACAAGATACATCTGAAATATTCAACACGAAATAAAGCAATAAATTATTCCACAGCACAAGCAGGCAAGCAGCAGACGTCCATCAAAACACTACACAAACAAAATGGTAACCTAAATAAATACCCAAGTGTCTATTAGAGGGACGCAAGTTTTCAGCCAGAAGAAAAGTAATAATATGGTGAAAATTGATCCTGTTCAACATGAAAAGATCAAGACAAACTGCTGAGACCAAAATAGTTCCTACTAAACTGCCGCGACCGACACGGACAAGTAAATCATGTTGGGATTTATAAACTAGATAAGAATAGAACGTTGGCCACGAAAACTTATGCTGAAGGTTATGAAGTGCCAAAGCCATTGAAAATACTTGTGGTTCTTACATTTTATGTCGTCCTGCCCACTCTAATAGTAGTATGATAGCACACAGTATTTCTGAATGAAGATCATTAAGAATGCATGGCCTTAATTAGAGGAAAATACAGCACTGTGAAAATTTAATGATAATTCGAGTTTTTGATTATGTCCTGAGAAAATAGATGACTGGGCGATTATAACATGTAAATTTAGTATTGGTTTTGATCGAGGTAAAACATATACAATTGAAGCATTAACAATTTCAGGGATAAACAATCCAATGTAACCCTCTGCCGCCTGACAAAAGTAACTGGAGAAAAATTATCACAAACCTATTTCCCCCCCCCCAAAAAAATACGTTCTGTTGAGCGCAAAATGGCTTAATTGCACTGATGGTTGCCGCCACGTACGACAACTTTAAGATGTTCTCTGTTGCGTACAAACGTCCTCATGTTGCTACACTCAATAGTGTGTAGCAACATCCCGCCTGACTTCTTAAATCAGACTACTTAAGAAACAGTTAATTTTTTTGTGTTAACTTTGCCATAGCCGTTTCTCTCCTAGGCAGTTCAACACCATCCCTGTACCAGAAAACAATAAACTTGAATCACTGCTTACTCCAGCCTCTCCCTAGCCTCTGAGTGTCAAGAAAACCTTTATTACCGCATTGTCAGATCAATCTTTACAAGTGTATGTATAATTTAAGTTGAAAGTTATGTCATCCATATATGTCCATATATGCTGAAGGTTAGAAAAAGTCAATATAAAAATAATCAAATACGGCGGAAAAGGGTTAAATGTGGTGTGAGTCAACTTATTTATTATAGGTAAATTAAAATTCACTATAATAAAATTTCTGAAAAAATTTAATGAGACTTTATATAAGATAAATTTGGGGGGGGAATTTCATAACTCAGTGGCTGATGTTATCAATGAGACTAAAACTGACGGGGATAAGGGGAAAACTGAAGATCGTAGTGTAGTGTCACCCTCTAATTATTAATGTACATAAATTTTGTGCGTATGTATATGAAAAATTGTAGATGAAACCATATACGTGCATATATTTGTAGGACATGCTGAGGTACAGTAAAGAAATTAACTGTAAGGATAGGTACAGTTAAGAAATTCCGCCTTTAACTCAGGCCGACCAGCTCAGCGGCCGCCGTTTAGCGCATGTGAGCGGTGTATAGCTACATCTGTTCGGTTCCGCTATTGCGAAACGATACGATCGAGTCTACATGTTTTCGTGATTTTAAAATGCCTTCACTTATTGAAGATCTCGTCGAATGTGAAGTGCGTGCCTTTTTTGTGCTCAAGGCTTCAAATTAGTGGACATTTATCGCCAAATTGGTGAAGCGTATTGTGCAAATGTTTGAGTAATGGAATGGTGCGGAAATGAATGTGACCTGGTGAACAAACTAATGGTCACTAGCTTGAGTTTACACGAGTGACCCAGAGGCCGATAAACGTCGGCAACTACTACTTGTTGTTCGAGTAACTTTACTGTTAAAACTTTCTCCTGATCTCAATATTTCAATGGGAATTCACATAAATGAGCTATCCAGAAAGATTTCTAGCGTTCCCAGGCCACTCTGTTATTCACTAGGCTAGTTTTATAACTAATGTTTGGGGCATCAGCTGGGCAGAAATAACACTGCATGAGCTCATATTGTTTTCTGTTAGGTAAAATGTCCAAAAGTAGCAAAAAGATTTGCGTTAATGAGGCTAAAGTGCTTTCGAACAGTGCGTGGTAATGAACCTCCAACATTGATTTTATGTTAAATGAAGACAGAGCACAAAAATTAGGCTTGACTAATTCATAATTTAGTGTAGAATAGTGTAGAATAGAATAGAATAACTTGGTGCAAGATCGTGGCCCTTTGTGTTCAAATTGGTTTACTCTACGGTATATGATTACAGTTTTTCAATTACTTTGTAATATATATGAAGTTATATACGATTAAGAACAGGTGACATAACTGGAATTTTACCAAATACCGATGGATTAAAATACAATAAGAAAAATTACGTTAATCAGAAAACTAAATTGAAGTACGTTTGCTGAAATTACAGCATACTTTTTTATTATCATTCTTGTTACAGTAGGTCGGAATTCTCCGGCAAGGCTAAGATCTCTCTAAGACTTGCATGACGATGCTGACAGTTCTCCGGGCCAAGGCAGAGAACTACCGGACACTTGCATGACGATGCTGACAGTTCTCCGGGCCAAGGAAGAGAACTACCGAACACTTACATGACGATGCTGACAGTTCACCGGGCCAAGGCCTGTCTCTTATACACATCTAGATGTGTATAAGAGACAGGACTCAAATGACTCAATCGGGGTAAATGATCGTTAACTCATGATTCGGGAGTAATTGGTTAATTTTGTTGGGTAAGATTCATGATCGGTACCCTGTTAAGCTGTTTATGCAGATTTGGGGGTAATTGTTCTTAATAATATTGAAGGATCAGGGGTAATTGGTTAATTTTGTTGGGGAAGATTTGGGGTAAATGATTGGTAATAATATTGAAGGATCAGGGGTAATTGGTTAACTTTGTTGGGCAAGATTTAAGGTAATTGTTCGTAATAATATTGAAGGATCAGGGGTAATTGGTTAACTTTGTTGGGAAAGATTTGGGGTAAATGGTTGTGGTGACCTATGATTTAAGCTGTTTATGGAAAGTGTGACGGTAGGCCTATTATGCTATCTACTCGTGTAACATAGTAATGAACTAGTGTAGCGAGGCATAGATCCAAGTGAATCGTAGTAGAGAATTAGTGTAATGAGGCAATGAATTCGTGTAACGTAATGATGAACATGTGTAATGTAGTGATACATTTATGAAACATGATCGCGACAATGAATCGTTGTACACTGGTAATGAAGTTGTGCAGTCAGGTAATGAATTAGTTTACCGGAGCAATTAATTAGTGAAGTGTGATCATTCAATACTGCTGAATTAAAAATTTTAAAGATTCACAGTCGCCAATACTTCCGAAAACAGTTTTCATATTTTAGTTTAGATGCAAAACTTATTCAATGCAGACACGAGCTGTGCACGACGGATGTGCTCGAAATCGGGAGCAAAAGGCCAACTTAAGGAAATCAAGTAACCGGGAA